TCCTGACAGAAGACGGTTCTTCCCTAGGAGTTTGAACCAGCATCATCAGCAGAGTATAAGAAAGCTGCAAAAAGTTTCTTTTCTTTTTTTGGTGGCTGGCCAGTATGGGGATCCGAACCTGTGACCTTGATATTATAACACTGTGCTCTAACCAACTGAGCTACCTGGCCAGCCCTGCACAAAATTTTTTGCAAACAAGTGGATACTTGTTTCTCCATCATCTCTGGAAAAGTTATCTTCTAATTAAATGTTATCTCAGTAAATACCTGAGAATTATGAGACTATCTGACTTCTAATTGGCCCTGTGGGACATGACCACAGTCTTTAGCCTGAAGAAGCATTCTGTATGTCACTTTGAAGGTCAGGGACTCTGTTATACCCTTGTGTGTTTTGAAGGAGGACATCTACTGCTATAGATCAAGTAGGATGGCCACAGGAAGTTCCTTCATTGCTTTTGTATCAGTCTTTCTCCTTTGGTCTGAAGAAAGGCAGTAAAACTGTGAGACAAACTGAGAAGAAACAGTACCTTTCAGATCCCTGGAAAATTATAATTTTTCTGAATCTTACCAATTTCTCTACAATAAGAAAACTCTTCTTCACAGTGTTGATAAGATTAAATGAGGTGTTATGCAAGAGTACTTCAGAAAGTTCATGGAAAAATAGAGTTAAAAGATAATACAAATCTTTTCATGACCATTGTCAAGACCCCTTGTCTAAACACTGCCCGGTACAGTTCTCGACAGCATGGAGTGGCAGAAATAGGCCTGGCATTGGAGCCATATGTCATGGTGTTTGAATCTAGACTCTGCTACCTCTGTTTGGGAGGTCAGCTTGCTTATCAAAACCAGGCTTCTGCATCCACAAAGCGAGAGTCACAATGCCTGCTTGGCAGAATTATTATGAAGGGTCAGGATGACATTTGTACAGCTCCTCCCCTGTGCTGGGCACTGAGCTGGCATTCGGCAGTCACTGCTGTTGTCCTCAGCACTGTGGTCAGTGTTGTCAGAAATCTCTTCTTTATTAGGAGTGTAAGAGGAAGCTGGTGAAGGATCTTCTGAAGGCTTTGAGACCTCAGAAATTTCAGGAGTGATGGTGTCACTTCAGATTTTCAGTGACATCATTGCTGATAGCCCTCCCCCCCTTTTTTCGCTCATCTCTTGCAGTTGAGAATGAAAACCATTGTGATTTTGTGAAACTTCGGGAGATGCTGATCCGGGTGAACATGGAGGACTTGCGAGAACAGACTCACACCCGCCATTATGAGTTGTATCGGCGCTGTAAGCTCGAGGAGATGGGGTTCAAGGACACTGACCCTGACAGCAAGCCCTTCAGGTATGGGGCACCTGGCAGTCCGTGTCTCCCAGTGGCAAGGCTGGCGCACTGGTGCCTCACAGAAAAGCTTGTTGGGCTGACATGCAGTGATGAAGGGGCCTGGTGGGGAAGATGCACAGCACGTATGGTAGGCATGTCAGTAACTGCTTTATTCGCATTATCTCAACTAGCCAAGGTAGGTGAGGTCTGTAATCGTCCACATTTTACAGGTGAGGAAGCCAAGGCTTTGAAAGTGTGAACAGCCTACCCAAGGTCCTACAAGTAGCAAGTGACTGGGTGGATGTCGAGCCCTAGCCGTCTGGCTCCTGAGCCTGATCGAGGCATTTACGAAGGTGTGGCTGCTGGTTACAGTGTGCCCTGTTCATTTGTGCCACTCGGGTTTAACTTCCCAAGGCTCTTAACGTTTTCAAGCGCTCTTACCAGCTTTCAGTGGTTCAGTACAGTTCTAACAATGGCTCAGTAGGAAAGAGAATAACTTTTAGGAAAGAGAATAACTTTTAGAAAATGTCTTGTGT